CAGTTTGTCTATTTCTGTCTCTATGTCGTTTGTCGTTTGGATTGTGGTGCTTAAATTTAATTCTGAGGTTATTTTATCTTTAAATTCTTGCCAGTTTGTGTTTTTGTTGTATATTCTTAAGGGGGGTTCTTTGAGTACAACTGTTGAGTTAACGTTTAATACGACAGGTGTGTGGTCAGATGATAAGTCAGAATAGGCTTCTATAGTCATATAATTTTGGCCGATGTTTTTAGTTACATAAAAATCCAGAAGGTCAGGTATCTTATTTCTATCTGTTGGCCAATATGTCGGCTTACAATGAGTCATGCACTCTAATTTAAGCGTTTGTACTGCTTGGTAAAGTTGTCTACCCCTAGGAGTGATGAGACGAGATCCCCAATGGATATGTTTCGCATTCCAGTCACCTCCACATATGTATTTGTGTCCGAGTGTTGAGAAGTACTTATTTAAGTCTGTTTCAGTTATTGTGTGTCTAGGTGGACAGTATACCGCAGATAGTGTTATATCTGTTTTGTCTTTAAGTAGCAGTTTTATAGTTGTCGCTTGAATTTTTTCGCTTTGGTATTCTTCCTGTACATAATGCTTAAGGTTCTCTTTGATAATTACTGCAGTTCCTCCGTGGCTGTTGCCTGACGGGTGATTTGTGGTGTAGATATTGAAGTTTTTTAATGATAAATGGGACTTGGCAGTGAACCTTGTTTCCGATATTAATGCCACATCGATTTTTTCTGTTACTAGGAACGTATAAGATTTTCTTCACGACGTTCAGTCAAGCCATTGGCATTCCATGTCATAATTTTGACGCTGCTGGATCATTTTGACATTAGACTTGCAACCAGCTGGACCATACGATCCATCATTTTGTCCATCATGGCCATCATGACTTGTTGTAGATTTGCGAACATACTTTCTAGTATTTCTGTTAGATTATTTGTGTTTGTTTGTCCTTCAGTTGGTTTAATACTGGTAAAATTTGAAGTCAGTACCTCTGCATAGGTCAAATTTTGTGTTTGTTTTTGTATAGGCACGTGGTTTAGTTCGTTTCTTGGTTCAAGCTTTCCTTGTGTATTTCTTGGTTGGTGCATTTTTTGTGACACTTCTGGTTCATGTGTTTTTTGTGTTAATTGTTTGTGTTTTGGGTTCGTTTTTGTAATCTTGTCTTTGTATTGTTTATATTTTAAACATCCTTTATAGCTTGCTGGGTGTTTCTCTTGGCAGTTTGCACAGGTGGCTTCCGTGTCGGGTTTTTTGGTGCATGATGCGGTGGAGTGATCGTTACCGCATTTGACACACCGAAAGGGTCTGAAACATTGATTTTTTGTATGTCCGAATCTCTGACATCGCTTACACTGGAGAACTTCTGTCTTCTTATAGGGAGCTTCAACTGTCACTTTTGACTGACATAGGTATCTTAAGTTGAATATGTCTTTATTATTGTTTTTAGGTTCTAAGTCAATATAAAATACTGGCAGTGCTTCTTTAGTGGTTCTGTGTCTTACGTTAACAATCTGTCTTACCTCGTGCTGGTGATCTTTGAGTTCGGATTTTATTTGATCAACGTCTTCTGTAGCGTGTAATCCTCTAATCACAACACGATATGCTCTTTCGCTTTTGAGCTAGTATGTATAATGGAAGATGTTATTTTCAATAAAGTTGTCCCTTATGGTTTTATATGTGGGTATGTCTGTGGGTATAAGTTTAATAACATTTCCAGAGCGTCAGGTAGTCATAGTATAGGACTTGCTGTCAACTATTTTATTCAGCTTTTCTTTAAGGGTTGTTATATCAATTACCCCAGTCACAAAGATTGGCTCAGGCTTAGGAGTATAGACCTTTTCTGTGGTATTGCTGTCTAAAGTTTCGAGTGCTTCAAATTGTTTGCTGGTGGGCACTGTGTAGATTGACTTGCTTTTCATTTTTTTTTGTGAGTTGTTATGTATTGGACTTATTTCTTTCCTCTTTTGTCTTTGTTGTGGGACTTAGTCCCTTTGCCATGCATTTTCTACGTTTGTATCAAGCTGATTCTCTTGTGAAACCTTTTGAGTGTCTTTTATTTCATATGATTTGTTATCTTTATCGTTCGCGTTGCCTGTCTTCACTGCATTTGAGGTAGATGGTGTACTATTACAACGGTTTCTTATATACATGCTTTTATGAAGTGTTTGCTGTATTAAGTTATCAGAGTTAATTTCATTTTTATTATTTTCATTCATATTGTTCCCACGAGTCAGGTCGAAATAAGTGGTCGCCTAAGGGGTGACGCCTATTCCCTTAAGAAGGCATTATTCAACGACGTTTGCCAGGTCCATCGAGGTCGGCGCTAGTGATTTGTCCTCCTACAAGCCATGCATCCTGTCGGCACGTTTCCCACCTTAGGATTAGGGTGAATTTTTATAGAGGCTTTCTACCTCTAGACACGGGCAGTTAAGCCAATGCCCCCGATTCCGCGAGACATGACCACGAAATTGCGGGTTGTGAAGATCATTTCCTATCTTCAACAAGAGCTAACTTGTTAGGCTAGCTAGGTCGGGTTTCGTGACCGCCGCCCAAGACTCGGCGTTTGTTACTCATTTAGCACCACCCGGGGGGCACGTGTAGGGTGGGCCTAGGAAAAGGTGGTGACTCCTACGGACGCGAGTAACATTACCCCCCTGTGTGTGGATTTATTGTAGAAAAAAAACTGAGGAATCCTATTTTAGAATATTAACAATTCAAAATCAGCCTAGGTAATTTAAGTATTATTTACTCACATCCAAAATTATATTAGTCTCGGCATGGGTAATTAACAGTCTCGGTTACCACGAAATAATTTCAGATAATATTTTGTATTTTTTATTGCCGTAGTACCTAAACACACAATAATATAAAAAGACTCCACAAATAATTGTTATCAATCAAAGATGAATTGTTATTGCTGCATCATGTGCTCGTTTATCACACTCGTATCTCCCGAACTCTAGGCGATTCAGGACCAGAATGATTGATCAATCAACATTTAATTTCTGTTGAATTAATGCATTCTTTTAAAATCACCACTCTAAAGTCTCGCATTTGCCCTTTTCAGCAAAATCTACCTTGCGATACTACACAGCTTATGCTAATTAGTTGTAGTACTAATGCAATCTTTATTCTTATTTATTGTCGCAAAATTTCGGAAAATGCAATCGTCTCCAATAAATCACGAGCACAAAGTAATGGATGTGAAGGCGTAATGGATGTGAAGGCTAATTGGATGTAACCAAAGTCGGTACAGCCACAGTGGTAATTTGCCGAGTGGCAACGTGGTCTTAAAACCCCACACTTTGCGGCAGGCACGTGACCGCGCACTCTAACTTGCTCAGTTACGCGGTTACCGACAAACTAGAAGAAATCAATGTTGCTTTAACATTCTAAAGATTATTTCTTTATTTTTTATTTGATTTATTTTGCTTTATTATATTTAGGTTTACTATGGCAGCAAAGTTTGTACTATAAATAGTTGTTTACAAAGTGCTGAACTACAGACGTGACTGCTCGAGCAGTCCATGTATGTTGGCAGCTCTAAAATAACTTTTTTCAGCTCAAGAATTAACAGGGTTCAGCGTCTACCCTGAAGTGTGTAGGATTTAAGAAGAAATAATCAGTATAGCGCATCTCATTCATAATACTGATGATTACCGCGGGCAAGACAGAATGTTCATATACGAGTATAAGAACTAGTTGCCAGTGTTTTGGATTCAATGACAAACACTAACAAACAGTTGGTAAACATCGGCCGGGGCTCGGGGTCACATCGTTGTTATTGAACAATCTTCACTACGTGCCTGAAGTGAAGGGAGAGCGATCGAATCGTAACTACCCGCTACGGAAATATGTTTGGCAAACTACTTCAACCTTACCCTTTAAAATATAAATGGGGGAAGGAGGAGGAAATATGGAGGCACCCGTGAATGTGTTTGCGAAGAGAACCTACTTAATTGATTGTAAATTAAAATGTTCATGTGTTGTTTTATAAACTACCTGACTGAGTTACTTTCGTATTATAACATTAGTACTAATACATAAATTATTTTCATGAAATATTACAGTTTGTTTCTTAGGTTTTCACGCACATAACTCATTAAATAAAACTAGATTTTACGGGTTAATGTCCTAAATTTGTTTATTTATTGACGTTTCGCAGCCTTTTCAATTCATATTACAGTTACTTTTTACACGTGCTTTATCTTCATAATCCTTTCAAATAAAGTATTTACTTTGAAAGTAACAACGATTTGAGATTTTGCGTTTGCTTTAAAATGAGAGAACGGAAGTATATGAATAAGAATATGCATTTTTAAGTAATTAATTTCATAACATGTTTAGGACGTTCCAATTATGTCGTGAATTAAGCACTAAAATAAAATTGCATCCATTTACTATATTCCATCCAACCATAGTTGATCAGAAATCAGAAATCAATATATCTTTACCAAAACATGACGTCATCTGACATTTCAAATAGTTATACATATATATACGTAATGTTTTGATTATGTCAATAAATAAAAACTACGAGTCCAATACTTATTGATAATCTAAAGAAACCAAGAAAAAAAGCTAGTCGTTATCCTTATTATAAATACGAATGTGTGTCTGTCTGTCTGTCTGTTACCTCATCACACTTAAACTACTGAATCAATTAAGATGAAATTCGATAAAGAGATAGCTCCAGTCCCGTGAAAGGACTTAGGATAGTTTTTATCCTAGAAATCACCTTTAAAGGGGTAAAAAAGGGGTGGTTTGTATGGGAAATCAATTTTTCCACGCAGACGAATTCGCGTGCATCCACTAGATTTTGTATAAGTAAAATTACTATGTAGGTATGCACACGTAACTAACGAACGAATGCACCAAATTTTACAATTTCGTTTTTGTATTTTTCATTGTCAGGAAAAGGTTTGTTTAAAGGATTGTTTTTTGGAAAAATCTATTATAAACTGAAACAAATCAGAATGGGATTTTTTATTGTAATCTCACAACTCTAACTCATTAGTATGTTGTACCGTGCGAATTGTTAGTTAATTAATAAATAATACATTAATGTCCTTCATCAATTGACATGACGGTTGTATCGGGTTCATAGTGATGATTAAGGGAACGTGTGCTGATAATATTCTTGTATACAAAGGCCGATTTGCGCGGCGTACGAGTAAGGTCGGGGCTCGAGTAGTCCACTTCGTACAGGCCAAAACGCTCGCTGTAAAAAAAGACAATATAAGTAATTTTGCTGACACTTAAGAAGGTGAAGTATTTTCATAGAAAATGAATAGCTAAATCAATTGCAGGTAAAGGAATTGAAGCACGAAGAGAGATGATCCAAGATCTTCAGTTCGACCTTATTAATAGAAATTGATGATTAACTTAATGATCGTAATGCATGGACATAGTGTTTCTTGTAATGTAATGGTATTTGTCATTTTTCATAACAATAATGTGGTATCTGACGCCTTTTCCTATATACCTACTGAATATGTGAAGCTCACTATAAAACTTATTGTATATAGCTATATTCGAAATTATGTAATGGAAGGTGACTTCAGAATTATCTCTGAAGTCATTTTTTAACTTGACGACTCTGTATACTGGGAGAACAAACAGCCCTTGCTGAGTTTCTTGCCGGTTCTTCTCACTACAAAGTCTCCCGCCGTAGTTTTGCGAACCGATGGCGTAGCTTTTCGACTTTCACAAGTGCTTGTTACAGTCTAGACTGAATAAAGGATCTTAAAGAGATGCAAGGCATAGCGGATTTTTGTATTTTTTCTGTTGAAGTATTCTCCACTTTGTAGAAGATCGCAGTGAAATAACACTACCTCTTCTGCTACGTAAATCACATAATATCACTTACGCCTTATAAAAAAAGTTCTAACCTAGATAACGAGGGTGATATTACATTATTATAGGCCATAGAGAATATAGTTACAGTAACAATATGATGGAGGCTACGTTTCTTAGTCCAATAAAGCAGCTGTATGTTTAAAACAAACGTAAATCTTACACGTATCCTTGCATCCATTCGAAATTATCCATCAGACTCCAGGCGGTATAGGCTGTAACATTACATCCGTCTTCAATAGCATCCAACATGGCGTCAAGATAATCCCTGAAGTAAGTAATTCGGTCATCGTCTTCTAAACCACCGTATGTAGAAAACCCATTTTCGGTGATAATAATATTTGGATCATTGTAATTATTCGTTATATATTTCAAAAGTTTATAAAAGCCCCATGGTACACTCTAAAAAAAAGTAATTGCGTTAGAATAATATTTTGTAGAAGATCCGTAAGGTTAAACAGTATTCACCTTTAGCCACGACGAAGCTGAGCTACTCCAATCAGGAGATTTATATGATGCCACACCCAAATCATCATTAGACGAAGGTTCATCGAAAAAATTTATTGATTCATTCTTGTATGCTACGTTGGAGGAGTAATGGTTTAGGCCAAAGAAGTCCGACGATCCTCGAATCATCTCAATTTCCTCTTTTGTGAATTCTGGTAACCGTGACCTATAGAATCCTTGTGTTGCACTCTTTTTGGCTACCTTTTCTTTCATTATGGGCGGAAAATCTCCAGCCTCCGAGAATATTGGATGTGCATATATTCCTATCTAAAAGCAAAAAAATATTATATTGTTTTAAAAGGCAATAGAAAAAACAGTGTGGAGCCGTATTAGATATTCACTTCAAATTGGATCACATCATCAGCTGCTTCAGCGTATTTTTCAGATTCCGGTTCAGTCCAGCTTCCGCTTAGCGTGATACCTATCAAACCTCCGTATTTTGGTTTGAATTCTTCTTCATAGATGCGATATACTTTAGCATGCGCCACAAGTAAATTTTTGGCACAAAGATATTCCCCTATGCCTTTAATATTTAATGCTGGAGCCATAGTCGTATCACCATATCCTTGATAACATATTTCGCGTGGTTCATTCATTGTAATCCAATATTTGACTCGGTCACCAAAGTTTTCGAAAATGATACGTGCGTAATCGACATACCAATCGACTATGTGGGGATTTGTCCAACCACCCAATTCTTGAAGTTTTTGCGGTAAATCCCAATGGTAAAGTGTAACGATTGGTTCAATATTATATTTAAGCAGTTCGTCTATTAGATTGTTGTAGTACTGTACTCCTGCTTCATTTATTTTATCCGGAAAGCTAGTGGGAAGTATTCTAGACCAAGACAGAGAAAATCTGTAAAAATCCAGACCCAATTCTCTCATCATTTCAACGTCCCTCTTATACTTATTGTAAGAGTCGTTGGCAATGTCTCCATTGGAACAATCTTTTATTCGGCATGAATCATTATGTGTGAGATAATCCCAAATATTCTCAGCTTTTCCTGAAAATTAAGCGTTAGGATAAATTGATTGTTTATCATTAAGTATTGTTATTATTAAATTAGTATTGGCAATATATAAGTATGGCAAAAACGAAATTCAGAGCAGTCATATCTTAAATTTCACAGCCAGACTAAATACCTACACAATTCTCGTTAGAGAAATAATAATTAAGTTAAGTGTTTAAATAGATTAAGCATACCGTCCGAATCCCAAGCGCCTTCTACTTGATAGGAAGCTGTTGCTGTACCAAAAAGGAATCCTTTGGGAAACTGTCTTATACTGTGTTTAGCTCCATCTATTATCTTGGCATTCGTCGAACACAAAAACAGTGAAACTAAAAGTAATAATACACTGAAATAATAGTTTTAACTTATTATTATTACTATATAAATAAACGAATTATTATTTTTTATACAATTGTTCAACTAAATGAGTATATTATACTTACATATTAAATTTGTATAACATTGTTCTTTTCCTCACAAGAGTGAGTTTTATTTAAAACCAAACGTGGGTTTTTATAGTTTCAGTTCATATCAGAAGTAAAACTCCTATCTCTGAAGAGAGCTCTGAGAGATAAGCTGATCAAAGTATTTATCAGATGATTTTCCATTTTCTAAAGGTCAGGTGCAGAATTAAACAGTTCGATAGTGCAGTAGTTAGAGTGTTCAGTCTGATCATTTATAAAACATCGCAATCGCCGACAATTACTAAAGAACGTAGCCCTCAGGCTGCGTTCAATAGAAACGGTCCATGAACTTTCATCCAACAACCACCTAGTTGTCTTATAATTGGGCGCTTTCTCTCTGACCTCCCATCCTCAAGGAGAATGCCGAACTGGATCAGGATCGAGAAAATACTCGAACCCTCCACCAGGTCGCCAATCAACTCCATCCCCGACCACATAACCTTCCCTCACGACACCCTCTCTGCGATCGGAGCCCTCTCGAGCCATCTCACTTCCGCAATAAGCGAGGCATCCCAACAGGTTCCAGCGATGCCAGACCAACGCTGCTATCTACCGGACGACGCTAGAGAGCTGTTAAGGGCAAAGAACGCTGCCACTAGGGCATTCGACATCTACCCCATGGACGACAACCGCTCCTGATATCGTACCTTGCAGCGTGCTGTTAAGGCGCGCATGAAGGAAATGCGGGAGTGTAAGTGGGATGAACTATTTGAAGAGATTTCGCCATCACACCAAGCTTATTGGAAGCTGGCGAGATCATTCAAGTGAGAGGTCGAATCCTCCCTGACCAAATCTGACCGATCGATCGCGTTTAACGAAAAGGCCGAATGCCTGGCCGACAGCCTGGAGGCGTAGTGCTCACCTAGCACTCTCTCTGTCCCTCTCGAACACGTCCAGTTAGTCGACTCGGAAGTCGAATAGTCTTCCTTCGTACCGCCCACCGCAACCCTTGAACCGGTCACTGTAGATAAGATGCACTCGTTAATCCGTAAGTTGCGCTCACGTAGCGCCCCCGGGTCAGACGGAATCTCTATTAAGGTCCTTTAGATCTTACCCACCTAACTCCTTTGCCTTATCACCGCGATCTGTAACGCGGCTATGACAAACGCGATATTTCCTGCATAGTGGAAAGAGGCTGTCGTTGTCGGAATCCGTAAAATCCAGTAAAGACGGCACCTCACCCACTAGCTACCACCCTATAAGTCTCCTCAAAACGCTTGGGAAAGTTTACGAACGCGCCCTCGCTAGCCGCCTTAAAGATTTTCTTTTCGCGAACAACCTTATTATGAACGAATAGTTTGGTTTCCGTCCCAAACACTCGTGTGTTCACCAGATGCACCGCCTAATGGAGCACATCCTCCACTACTGCGATCTATTTCAATCCTCTGCGATCCCCACAGGTGCGCTTTTCGCCGACGTGGCGAAAGCTATCGACAAAGTCTGGCATAATGGTTTAATTTATAAGCTATACAAACGCGTCAAAGGAACGCTCAACTCACCCCACCCTATACGCGCCGGCGTCCCTCAGGGCTCGCCACTCTCGCCCATCCTCTACTCGATCTTTACGAAAAACATGCCCAAGGCTCCTAAAATCGATCTCGCGCTTTTAGCCGACGACACCGCCCTCTATACCTCCGATAGATGTCTCGGAATAGTCTGTAATAGAATTCAATCAGCCGCTACCATCCTTGGCGATTGGTTCCGTAGATGGCGTATCGAGGTTAATCCGGAAAAAAGCATCAGAAGAATATCAGCGTTGCAACGGCAATCCATTTTTGCCGTTGCAAAATGTTGCATCAGCATAATGATGCTGAGGTGGGCCTAGTTGACGATGTAACTTTTGTTTTATGTTTCATGTGTATTTATTGTAATTGTTAATGAATTTCTTCAATAAATGTTTTTCTTTCTTTCTTAGGATAACAGAACGAAGACCCGGTCAACATACGGCATGCTATACCAGGTACAGGTACGTACCTGGGCGTTTTTCCCCGCCCCCCACGACGGCTAACTGGTGCCGAGGTCTCAGAGAACCCTCTAGTTGAGCCAATCCCCTCAGGTTCAAGTGGTCTAGAGGCTCCAGACGGAGAAGAGACTCCATCCGCCTGGAATACTTGTAGAGGCACTCGGCAATTCTCGGCTTGAGGTACCCTTAGGATCTTACCGTTCCCAAACCCGGTGACGCTGTAAAGGTCATCTCAGACCAACAGCATACACACTCAAAAATAACGGCGGTTATCATTCGCATTTAAAAATAAAATAAAATATCGAATTGATTTTGAGTGTGAGACGCAGTTTGACTTTTATTTAGGTATTATAGTTGTGATACATAGTTTGATTTTAATTGAATATTTTTAGTACCGTACCGAAATCGAAAATAAAGACTCCAGCAGTGCTAAAAATTTTCGCATCGGATCCGCGCGTAAAAATTTAACAAAATGGCACTGCTGGAGTCTTAATTTTCTATATCGGTACGGTACTAAAAATATTCAATTAATATCAAACTACGTAACTCAACTAAAATATCTAAATCAATAATGGTGATAATTGATAAAAGGGTGATAATTTTACAGAATAGCACTACTGCTCAAATATATTGTGGTAACGACAGGCGACTACGGAACCCTACACTTGGCCGGTTTTTATTTTTAAACTAAGAAAATTTCATCCGAATAATTTATGTTAATCAATTGTATCAATCTCAATGAAATGTTTTTTATGGAATGTTAATATTGTAATAATACTAATATAAAGTGATTGCGTACATCTTAAACTTTAGAGAACGTTTTATTGTTTATGGGTGCCCTGGGCCTCTGATGACCGGGATTAACGCAGTCCTACTCTGCAGCTGTTACTTTATTATAACAGGTTTAAGTGGTATCTACCCTTGTCTATAGAGCACGTTTATTTGGAATATAGGTAAACAGGTTTGAATAAGCTTTACCCGTTCATGAGTACGGATATTTAAATAAATAAATAAATATTTCCAACACTCACACCAATAAGCCTAGCCCCAAAGTAAGCAATGTAAGGCTTGTGTTATGGGATACTAGGGTAGCGGATAGAATACATACACAGTACATATATTTATATAGAAATACATATTAAACATCCATGACTGGAGTACAAATGCTCGTATTCATCACACAAACATCTGCCCCCTCCGGGATTCGAACCTTTCGAGTTGGCGAAACCATGAAACCGGCGTACAAACCACTTAACCACGGAGGTCATCAAAATTGGTTGCCTCATCCAAAGCTTAAATAGAGAGCGTCTCGTGAAAAATTATATAGTCTTTCTCCAACTTATTGATGACGAGGTGGTATTATAACTTTTTATGCTATGGTACGGACGCTTGTAATACCGGCAGCACTTCTGGTATTATGAAATCGTGCTGCACAAACCGTTCTCATCTTGCTATCCTGGACTTTCTGCCGTACTCCGTGGAGCATTGAAAATTTTACAGCAAAAACACAGCGCCACAGAATACTTACGATCGCACTTGAAACAGAAATTCAATTTCATATTTATTAAAAATCACCAAGCATTTTTTTTATATTAAAATCATGACAAATACGCATATGGCCCGCTTGATGGTAAACGGCTCTTATTACATAGCCTTTAGACGCATTCGATATAAAAAAAATGTGTTTTTTTAAAGCAATGGCTTACCCTGCCCAATCTCCTACCCCGTGGAGCCCTGGAACGTTTCTCACCAACAGAAACATAACATCACGAAAAGGTGGTGTAATTTTTAACCATACATGTTACAGATAGCAGATAGCTCTGTGTATGCTCATGTAGTCTTGTAATGCACGAGTGGCAGAGCAATGGCAGAATAATGGATCGGGTCACCAAAGACGCTCCTAGAAGCCTGTGAGAGTCCCAGGAGACTACTGCGCTTCTGGAAAGAACTGGGTTGGCTGGGACAGCTGATCCCACAACCCTGCACGCACAATGGACCAAATCGAGAGTCTACATGCAGAAATGGGGGCCCACCCACCCCAAGTAATAAGGTAGTGTTATTTTACTATGTTATTTTGTAAGGTGGAGGTGACTTCCCCAGACGGGCGCTCCAATTCGAGCGAAAAATCCATTAGATTAGACCCTACCTCTCGTAATATATGCACTTTAATCAAATTAAAATTATTTACGTTCCAATCGTCAGTGTTATTTGAGTTTAGTCTTCTGTGAAGCTTGCTATCTATAGATTTGAGCAGGAATTTAGGATAGGTAGCATCCACCGTGGCGGAGGTCCATACCACTTATTTATTTATAAAGGTCATACTAATATTGGTTGGGTTCGGGTGACTCTAATTAGCAATGAATAGAAATATGCATAGAAAATACAAGTCTGTATCCATTTATCATTAAATATCAAGTAAATCACTAAACTTTTATTATTATCTTTCATTTAAAAATGATTATTCGATTTCTATTTTTGTTGTTTTCTGCGTTGACTTCAGAGAATTGCCTGGAAGCTTTTACTGGAATAATGACTACGAGTAAATAGACACGTGATTGCTGGTAAAGAATTTTGTTTTCGTATTCGTGTTTTTCTCATTGAATTGATGTAAGAACTCTATAAAGTGTGTACGAAAATGTGATTTTTTATCACTTAACGTAATTTTCTGAATAGATTTTTAGGGATTTAATAAAAACATGATATTATCGTAAAGTTTATGTTTTTTCCATTGCGTTTCAAATATTCCGATTGCCGCTAGACTCCAGGTGCGCAAAGCATAAATTCAGAACTAGATTTACGAACGGACCAGAACACCCACGGGACTTGACCAAGTCGTAACATACAGAGAAATACTATTCTCATTCATACATAATATTCTTTGATGCCGAAAACACGTGAACTTCGCTTCCGACGTGTGTCGGACACTATACTTATATGGAGGAAAAACTATCATTTATAAGCACATTTTTTTATGGAAAAGTGTTAGTTTTTTTCAAAGATTAAAATTTATACAGATATGTTATTAACAAAATCCGGAAAGAATAAGCTATATTTTTTTAAACCATG